ATTTATTTTATATATTTATATATTACTATAGATTATAGTAAATAGATTATAGTAAAAATTATTTATTATGATAGGTTGTATACTATAGATTTAATTACTATATATTACAGTAATAAATAAATAGAAGCGAAGAAAACGTAACTTCCAGAGGCGAAGACCCCAAGGAGAGGAATCGCATTCACTTGGGTGCCATCTACTTGGTGTGTGACCTTGAACCACGTCACTCAACTTTTGTGGGCATCACATTCCTCATTGGGAAACTAAGCATAGAGGATCTCCTTCAGAAGGTTGTTCTGGGGATTCAAGGAATGGTTCGCACAGGGGCTACACACAGTAGGAACTCAGGGAATGTTGCTGGGATTCACGTTCCTAAGCCATGAAAACAGGGTACAGTGGGTGGAGGGTGCTACCATTCATGCATGAAGGGGAAATAAAACGACATGTGCCTGTGTGCAGAGGTCCACAGGGAGTTTCTGAAAGATACACATTCAATGAAGACCAGGGAAACAGAGGTATTCTCCCAGTAAAGAGGATAGATGCATCTGTATATATCTGTGCATTTATTTATTTATTTTGAGATAGAGTCTTGCTCCGTCATCAGGCTGGAGTGCAGTGATGCCATCTTGGCTCACTGTAACCTTTGCTTCCCAGGTTCAAGTGATTCTCCTGCCTCAGCCTCCCTAGTAGCTGGGACTACAGGCATGTGCCACCATGCCTGACTAATTTTTGTATTTTTAGTAGAGACGGGGTTTTGCCATGTTGGCCAGGATGGTCTCCATCTCGACCTCGTCATCTGCCTGCCTCAGCCTCCCAAAGTGTGCTGGGATTACAGGCGTGAGCCACCGCATCTGGCCTATATGTGCCTTTATAAATGGCAAACATGCAAAACTAACACAGTACAAATCTCCATTATTATGCATTTAAATTTTTTGCAGAGATCAGGCTATTGCCATATTATCAAGGCTGATCTCCAACACCTGGCCTCAAGGCTGCTCCTGTGTTAGCCTTCCAAAGTGCTGGGATTACAGGCCTGAGGCATCGCCCAGCTCAATCTCCAGTTTGGGTGAATCAGTCACCAACATGCTGTGCCCTGCACCTCCAAATACCTAACTATGTTTTCCACAAACTAGGATAGGTTCCCACATGTCCACCGTTAGACACGTGAAAATCGGGACATGAACTCTTCTGGATTGCTCCCATCTAATTCGAAAGCCCAACCACCTTCACTACTTGTGCCAATAATATGTTTATTTCACTGTATGCTTTGAAATGTGTACCACATGCATATATTATTATTTTTTTTTAAGAGACAGGGTCTCACTATGTTGCCCAGGCTGGAGTGCAGTGGCTATTCACAGGCATGATCCCACTACTGAGCAGCACGGGAGTTTTGACCTGCTCCATTTCCGACCTGGGCCGGTTCACCCCTCCTTAGGCAACCTGGCGGTCCCCCGCTCCCGGGAGGTCACCACGTTGATGCCGAACTTAGTGCGGACACCCGATCTGCATAGCACACTACAGCCCAGAACTCCTGGGCTCAGGCGACCCTCCAGCCTCAGCCTCCCGAGTAGCTGGGACTACAGGTACATGCCACCGTGCCCGGCGCATATGTTATCTTTACGAAAAAAAAAGTATTTTGAAACCACTCGACACAGCCAAACGAAATAAAAGTGATCTCATTCAAGCAGGAGCCTCGAGGACTAGGAGAACCCAGCCTCTCCTAGGCCTCCTCGCCTGAGCGGGGCTCCCTCCTGACCGCCGCCCACCCGCTCCAGGGCCGGGCGCAGGAAGGGGCCGCCCAGCCCGAGGCTCGCAGGGGCCGAAAACCCCGGGTCCTGCACACCCCTGGGCCCCGCGGCGAACCTGGCGTCCCCACCCCACTCCAGGATCAGATTCAGGCCAGGCCAGGAACCACCCGAGCTTCCCGCGTCCGCCTCGGTCCAGGCTGCAATGCGGGCGGCGGCCGCCAGGGGGCGGAGGATCCGGGCCCGCGCCCGGCGCGCCCCACCGAGGCGTGGCTCAGGACGAGGGTTCGGGAGCCACTGGCCCCGAGCACCCACGTGCAGCTTCCGCTCGCAGCCCCGGCCTGGCTCCTCGGTCCCCGGCTGAGACCTGCGGCCGCTGCAGGGCGAGGGGGCGGGCTTGGCTTGGGGCGCACAGGGCTCCCAGCCTCTCCCACCCCAACCCCGCCCTTACGGGGAACCCCAGCGACGCCCTGAACCCGGAAAGTGACACTGGGGCCGGGGCTGGACTTGGCGCCCGCTTCCCCTCCCGTCACAGTGACCAGGGCTGGGCCGGGGTCGGGGCCGTCGGGGCGGGCGGAGGCCGCGTGGGAATGGGGCTCGCTGCGCCACGGAAACCCCGCGCCGCCCTTCGAGTCCTCCGGCTGCTCCGCACAGCCGGGGCGGCTGCCATCGCGTCTGCCCCGAGGCTGCGCAGGCTGGTACCTGTCGGGACTCCGGGAACAGCCCGAGCCGGGAGACGCCCATCGGCCTGCCCAGCCCCACCCGGAACGACTCTGGGGGCGGGAGGCCGGGAGAGAAGAGAGTGGGAGATGAGGGGCAGGGGGAGAAGGGACCCGGGGATGTTATAACACGCTTTCCGCGCGTACAACTGGGGCCCACAGGTGGCCAGAAAGGCGGGATTCACTGGCCCCCTTTGCGGATGGACCCATGTTGGAGCCCCTTAGATCTGCGGTGGGGGCACAGAGACCTGCGGTGAGCACCTCCACACCCCTAACGCCAACGGATCCGCCCACCGCATGCCCGCCTGGCTGGCTTTGCACAAACGCTGCGTCAGGACACGCCCCAGGCCCACTCCCTCCCACATGGCGACCCTCAGGCCTTGGTAGACAGAAAGTGTCCTAAGCACACGCAGGTTCAAAGCCCGCCCCCGCCTCGGATTCGCTGTGTGGCCCGCAGCCAGTATCTTGGCCTCTCTGGGCCTCACTTTGCTCATCTCAGTGAACCGGACACAGACACAGGCGCGCTTCGGGCTCACGCTTTATTTGCCATCCAAGGCCCCGGGCCCGCCTGGGCGCCCGCTCAGAAGATCTTCACCGAGTCCAGCTGCACGTCCCCGCCCACCTCCACCAGGCGCACGCGCGCCAGCGGCAGGCGGTGGCGGAAGTGGTGGTACTGGGCGTCCCCAACCACGGCCTGCAGGGGAGGGTCGCTGGTGAGGATTCCGGAGGCCCGTGCTGGGTGGCCCTGGGGAAATCGCTCACCCCCTCTGCGCCTCAGTTTCCCCACTGAGAAAATGGGGCTGTTGTTCTTTCTAACTCCTGTCGTCTGGATCAAAGCAGTTTACTGGGTGGCACAGCAGAAAACGGCTTTTTTAGTGCTGGTAATGGATATTCTTATTTAAAGCGCAGAGGAGGGAGGTGAACTCGCGTAACGCCTGGGTGGTGGGGGATTTGCCGCCCCCCCACCCCCATCCTTGCTAGGACGAGTTCCTGAGCGCGGCCTCCAACCCATCCCTCCCCCTGCCTCCGAGCCCGGACCTCAGGCACAGGGAACTGGGAGTCGGGTCGGGGATGGCGAGTCCGGGCCACGGCTTCGCGCTAGGGCGCCCACCCCTTGGGTACCCGGCGGGGCTCGCCTCGTCCTGACCCTGCTGTCTCGCTGGGGCCCGGGTGGGAGTTGCTTAGGCCAGAGAGAGGGGTTCTGGGGACGCGCCTGTCCCGCCTTGGCCACGCCTCCTCCACCCCTCCGCCCTCCTGGCCTTTTCTCTATCCCGGTGCTGCGCGGAACCCTCTGCTCCGGGGACCTAGATCTTGGCGTCCATGCCCCTGTCGCAGAGACGCACCTTGAAGCCGTCGTCGGACGCGATGATGAGCACCTCGAAGGGCTGCCCGCGCTGGAAGGGAACGCCCGGCCCGCGCTCCTCGCGGCCCCAGGAGCCCTGCTCCAGGCTGTTGAAGACCACCTCGGAGGTGTCCAGCCGGGGGTTGAAATGCAGGACCGCATCGGAGCCCTGCTCCTCCCCGCACAGCAGGTTTACATGGAA